TTCGCGTCAATGTTGAGGCAATTGGCAGCTGGTACAAAAACAGCTAATGGACGAGAAACTTTTTAAACATTGGGAAGGAGCTGCTGTTTGGTGCTTGAAGAAACAGTTTTCTATTTCCAGGGGCATAAATCATCCTTTAAGGAAGTCGATCTTAATATGAAAATAGCCCTCCCTTCTCCGCTCCCCCACAAGGCCAAGCCTGCTGTGATGTGCATGGAACCAGCCCTCACAAGGGGGATTTGATTGGCACACAGCCAGGAGGCCTAGTGGATAGAATGCTCCCAAAGAAAAGTCACAATTACTCTTCAATTCCATACAGTTTTGGAGCTCCGTGAACCAGTGTATTATGCGGTGCCTCGTGTTTCTGAATTCTGAGCTCAGGCAAATGGCCAACTTAGCCACTCAATGACAGTTTGAAAATCGAAGACAAACCCGTCTCTGAACTCTGCTTTTTCCTTTTCTTCCTCCAGAAAAACCAAACAAAGTGAGGGGTCTATGGGAGGAAGCGCAAGCGTCTGGAATGTTCAGTTGATACGTTGTTTGTGCTTCCTCTGGAGTCTAGTCTAATTTTGTTTTTGCATAAAGTGGCGTTTGCTTGAGTCCCATAAAAAGGGACCTGGAAAAGAAAGCAAGCTCTTTCCCTGAGCTGTGGGTCTTGGGAATAGGGAGGGAATGTGATCCCCCCCGTCCAGGGAAGACACCTACAGAGATACTCACTCCCCAGGGAGGGCGCCTGCTGCAGCCTCCCGATGCAGAGTTCAGAGAAGAAAAGCTCTCAGCTGATCACTGCACGAGGAGTGCTCCCGGCTCCGGGGGACACCCACAAAGTCGGGCAGTGTGAGATGCAAACACTACTCCCTAGGAGTTCATCTTTAGGGGGGCAGCCAACAAACATATAGGCCATTAATTGAAGGATTGTAAGATTGAGCCTTAACTGCAAGGTCGCTTCAGTGTGCCAAATGGCATTCAGGACACCAGGGCCCCGTCCTTCTGGCAAAATGCTTCCGTCCCCAAAGAGATGGTTCCATATGTCCAAGTTGCAATTATACCTTTATATATAGCCCCAGTCACCCTGCTTCATTGGCTACAGGAACCTCTTTGCCCCTAGTCATTCCATCATGCATTTGTGCACCAAATATGTTTTTCTTACTGTTTTAGTGTCACATGACCACATATCATACCGTTCAATAGTTCAAGCCTACCAAGAAAAATTGTGCAGTAATTTCTCGGGTCTTCTGGGGGGTGGATCCTACAGATATGAGACCTGATGCCATCTAATGGACTGAGACTCATAGGGGCCTGTAGGACAGGACAGAACGGCCCCAGAGGGACTCTTAGTTGTCATATCCAAGGGGGCAGATTGTGACTTCTTTTCTCCCCAGAAGCCCCTGGGGGGGTTCCAACTGCTGACCCTTCCGTTAGCCGCGGGGACCTTAACCACCATGTCGCCAGGACCACTTGGAGTTGTAATGTAGACTTCCATAGAGACTCTATTCTACCTATATATCATTACAAACATACATACATACATACATATATATATCATACATAGGCTTGCATCTCTGTATGTAGATGAGCCCTGTTGGCATCGTGGTTATGCTAACTATAAGGTCAACAGTTTGAAATCACCTCAGGGGAAAGATGAGGCTTTCTACTCTTGTAAAGAGTTACAGTCTCAGAACCCCACAGGGGCATTTCCACCCCGTCTTATAGGCTCGCCATGAGTCAGAATCAACTTGTTGGCAGTGAGGTTTTTTGTTTGTTTGAATATGTTCATAATGTACTTAATAGATGTACATTCAACAACCCTGGAAGGACACCCCCCCAAATGGATGTGACCCCCCCAAGTTTTGGGACTGAATGTCGACCAGTCGACATCTTTGTGCAACACGGTATGGTTTTGCCATGTCAGCATGGACATGTGCTACTATTATAAGAAAAAGCAAATTTATTTATACTTTTCAAAGGAATTGTTGGCCTCTTTCAAAATCAATACATATAAGCCTTATATGTAAGGTTGGAACCACCAACCTTTCACTTAGCAGGGGCGTGCTTCGCCATTGAACCCTCATAGCCCCTTTGATTGAGTATGAGAATTCCATTCATGTTTGATCCAAGCTCAAGGTCTTGCAAATGGATACGTCAGAACTAATTAACTCGCTCTTACCTCTAGTCTCTCTCCGACTGACTCGCGCATTGATTTTCATGATCACACTACGCTTTCAGGCGGCTCTCTGTATAAAAGATCTCTTTCCTGGTTGGCGCCATTGCTGCTCCGCATCTTCCGCCTGCCTGTCTTTGTCTCATCTTGTCTGGCTGACGGCTGCACTACGAACCCTGCACAGTATTATTGTGCTAGGATAGAGCTTGTTGTCCCCCCTCCCCCCAAGGAAGACTCATGCGTTCCACGAGGCGCCCCGCAAAACCAGCCCTAAAGGTGATCTCTTTTCTGTCCCCTCTTCAGCTGAATTCTTGCCGCCAGCATGGGGAAACAGAACAGCAAACTGCGCCCCGAGGTCATGCAGGACTTACTTGAAAGTACAGACTTCACGGAGCACGAGATCCAGGAGTGGTACAAGGGCTTCTTGAGAGACTGCCCCAGTGGACATTTGTC